CCGGGTTTAGGGTTTGGGGTTAGGATAAGCCCAAATTTAGGCGCAGCTACGACCATCAATGCAAGCAACAGAGATGTCTTCTCAAAGAGTTGGAAAGCGTTTCGGGCAAGTCCCGGGTACATCGCGTCGCGACGGTACAGTTAGCCGACCCACCAACTAACGAGCTGACTTGCCAAAGGGCCAGCAATTCAACAAACGGTATAAGTAAGTACCTGCCACAGGAAGCCACTTCGTGATTAAGAACGCAGTGGCCAACTTAGGCAACTAAAGACAACACAATCAACAATGCTTGTTTCTTTGTCTTCAGCTGCCGACGTGATGTCTGTATGAATGCACCCCTAAAGCCTGAACCCTCATGTAGACCCCGGAAATTAACAAGCCACGCTACATTACGAGCATTGTACTAGAGATCCGAATATAAGAAAACTGAACCGCAAAATCCATACCCTGCCAAAGCTTAAACAACAAAATCTTAATCGCAATGCACCCATACACAACCCTTAAAGGGACCCCATAGAGGAACACTTCCACCCGCAGCTTATGGCCTCAAATCAAAGCCCAGACCTCAACCATCGACCAGATCTGAAGCTTTAGGGTTTAGGGGTTTAGNNTAGGGTTTCTGGGTTTAGGGTTTAGACGTCAGAACCTTGCTTCCTTTAAAGGGCTTTTGTAGCGGGGATCGGTGGGGTCTTGAGTTTACGGCTTATGAGCCTTATCATAGTAACCCTTCTCGTACCTGGCCTCTCTAGGGAGTGTCTTCCCTGTCAGAAAGCTTCAAGTATTGAACGGCAGGTGCACATAGACCCTATAAGCCTAAACCCTAACCACTAAAACTCCAAGTAATGGAAGGAAGGCCTATACGGCCCAATCAGATTGCTTGTCTAATTTGCGCTTCGCTTTTAGATTGGCAAACCATGCCTCACTCTTGTCCTCAGAACCACAAGAAGCAGACCCTCGCAGACTTGCAAACTACTGTGTTTTTTGAAACCCCCACTTATACTCTCTCTTCTTCAACAACCAG